AAAAAAAAAAAAAAAAAAAGAAATTTCTGAGGGTCATTAATAACTCTGCTTTATAGACAAATCAGTGATCTGCTTTTGGTTAGTGACACTATTACTAACACAGTATAAAACAGAGACCTCATAATTTCAATAACTGAAAAAAATCCTTAAAGTAGTGTAAGAAGTTACTTACGTTTTTAAGAAATGCAGATGGTGTTATAGTATCCAAGGCATTGTCTGTGGCACATAGGTAAGTGATTCCATCAATAAAGAGAGTATGGTAGACAAAGCTTTGAAAAGAATACATTCATTTACCTGATAACACTGAAGACATTAAGTACCCTCACAAAGAATATAATTTTGTTTTCAAGCTCTCATTAGTAGTATACAAGCTATATAGATAACTTTTTACAATAAGAATTAGAAAATCTTTCATATATGTGAAAAATTAAATTATGTTAAATAGAAACTATAAAATTTGAATATGTATTTAATATCGTATCAGTAAAAATGAAATACAATAAAGAGAAAACTCTATATTTAAAATGACTTTGAATTAAAAAAATTTTTAATGTTTATTTTTGAGAGAGAGACAGAGACAGAGACACAGCACGATGGGAGGAGGGGCAGAGAGAGAGAGGGAGACACAGAATCTGAAGCAGGCTCCAGGCTCTGAGCTGTTAGCACAGAACCAGAAGTGGGCTTGAATTCACGAACCATGAGATCATGACCTGAGCAGAAGTTGAATGCCCAAGGTACTGAGCCACCCAGGCACTCCTAAAGTGTCTCTGACAGAATCACTCATTCCAAGACTGAATCAAGATTCTCATCTTGATCAAATAGAAAATGCTATGTTCACTCATTTTTACTATCCCTCTATCTTTATTTTTTAAAAAAAATTTTAACATTTATTTATTATTGAGAGATAGAGAGAGACAGAACATGAGCATGGGAGGGGCAGAGAAAGGAGGAGACACTGAATATGAAGCAGGCTCCAGGCTCTGAGCTGTCAGCACAGAACCCGACTCGGGGATTGAACTCACAAACCGCGAGATCATGACCTGAGTCGAAGTCAGACGCTTAACTGACTGAACCACCCAGGTACCCCGATCCCTCTATCTTTAGGTAGACATATTTAATTTTGGTACTTCCTGGTTTTCTATTATGATAGATTAGAATTTAAAAGTTGTAAACTGTTAATACTAAATATTCTGAAGAACCAGATGAACTGGGGAGGGGAAATTAAACTCCCCTATAGTGTGCAAAAGTGTATCTGAGCTGAACTTTTGTGCTTTCTCAGAGTCACATATTAGCAAGCTAGAAGACTCTTGGAAAGTACCTCTATCTTTACTGCCCAACAATCCAGAAAATTTAAAAACATGGCAACAAAAACAGTTGCTTGGTCCCTAGACTTTCATCTAGTCATTTTGAACACTCTATATCCAAATGGTTAACAGGCAACAGACCTGGTCAAATGCTAAACTGGATATACACAAAAGTGATGAATCTTAGAAACAGGTAGAAAAGATAATCCCAGAGACAGCAAATGTAAGGCATGTGCCCTTTCAACGTAAATCCTTCATGTCTTATCATGAATACAACATGCTACATGTATATATATATCTGCTACAAATATATTTTTTTAAAATGTTCATTTATTTTTGAGACAGAGAGAGACAGAGCATGAACAGGGGAGGGTCAGAGAGAGAGGGAGACACAGAATCGGAAACAGGCTCCAGGCTCTGAGCTGTCAGCAGAGAGCCCGACGCGGGGCTCGAACTCACGGACCATGAGATCATGACCTGAGCCGAAGTCGGACGCTTAACCAACTGAGCCACCCAGGTGCCCCTGCTACAAATATTTTTAATGATGATATTGACTGATACATATAATCTCCACTTGGAAAATGTTTTTATTTCTAAATTGGGAGGAGTCTTTGTGGAAAAAAAGTTGCTAATTCTATCATCTCTCTGAAAGTTATATGTGTGATCTGAAGTAAATTGATATTGGATGTATGGGAGGAGATATTTTAATTTTATGCTTAGTATGTTATTACTGAGTAACATTCAGAAACCATCTTTAGGGGCACCTGGGTGGCTCAGTCAGTTAAGCGTCTGACTCTTAGTTTTGGGTTAGGTCATGATCTCATGTTGTGAGTTCAAGCCCCGTGTGGGGCTCTGTGCTGAGACTGAAGAGTCTGTTTCTGAT